AGGACTGAAGAAATGTAACTACTCCTTAACTAGGGGCAAGGATCTTGGCACTGCCGCTGGGTAGAAACAAGGTGCTGGGCTGGATAAAACAAGGTGGAGGGTGGGATTCGGTCCGCAGACCTTGTGTTTGCCACCTGTGGGTTAGACAATCATATACTTTGCAAAGTAGTCCCCTGATATTTCAAGTACCCACTTGACACCATATATAGTTATTAGAATATTATTGGCTATATTCCCTATGCTGTAATTTACATCCTCATGGCTATTTTGAAATTGCCAATTTGTACTTCTTAGTTCTTTCTCCTTCTCACCCAGTCTCCCAAACCGCTCCCCTCTGGCAATCAACAGCCTCTTCTCTGTATCTATGAATTTTTTAATGGACACTCCATTTCCCAATCTGTCTCATTTTCCCCTTGCTTAGTTTCCTTGTTGTTCACAAGGAAGAGAGTTACTGGAATTGGACGCGTACGAGAGGAATCTGTCAAGTTGGGAGGGGAAGTGTGAGGAATGTGCTGTGGCATTTGCTCTGGGGGAAATCTGAACTCCTTCCTTCCTACCTTGTCCACACAGCTTTCCTGGAGCTGCCTGGGGCTGCATGACACATCTGCCTTTTTATAATGCTTCTCTCACTAGGTAGGGGAAAAAGATTCCCACTTTGGAAAAGGATCCCAAACTATTTTCTCTAGAATAGAGTTCTTTTCCAAGGGAGAAAGAAATCTCAGAGTGCTGTGAAGCACAGTGGCAGAAATTGCGTGGCTGAGACCAGGGCTTCGATTTAGATGAATTATGTCCCCTAAACTGGCTCTTACAGACGGGCTCTGCCATGTTCCATTTAGCCAGGTTCAGCAGGTAGATCTCTGGCATGGACTTTCTTCTCTCCTTTTCTCCATGTCCATTGGCATCATTTAACATACCAGCTCAAACTCTGGCTCCTAAATACCTTGGATATTTGCTGATTGAACCAAAAATAAGATAGATTTCATTAGTGGGTATAAGAAATAGCATCTCTTGAACAAACATTTGAAACAATTCGGACACTCACTGAAGCTGAGTGTTTGGGGGATGTTTTTGCTCTTTGTGTTAGGTAAAGCCTGAGGTCTTGATTTTATCACAGTAAGAAGCAGCTTAAGTCTGTCATAGTCATAATGACAATGGGTGAGTGGATGGGAAAGGCTTCTCATAGCATGCTCACTTTCAGAAGCATGACCAAGTACCTACCCTACTCTTCATGGCTCAGGAGTGTCCATTACCTTGTATACAGAACAGCTCATTCTATGAACTCACTTTGTTCCCAGTAGAAAGTAAAATTGCTTGTAAAGCTCAGGCTAAGATGGAGCCAGTCAGGGAATATTCGCTGTAGCCCTGAGCCAGGTAGGGGCAGAGCCCTCAGTTGCCTGTAGGAACAAGAGTGAATGTGATGTAGGATTAGAAACGTTTGTGTCTCAAATTGAACCAGTCTTACGCTTCTGGGTCTAATCTATAGTTAACTATTTTGTTCTTTATTTATGCTAATTGGCCTTTAAATTTTTTCTAGAGTTACATTCAAGTGTGTAGGATACAGTGGCAGCTGTGAGGGATGCTGGTATGTATCTGGAGACCCTGAAGTAGCCCGGAAGGCAGCAGTGGGCTCCTGGCTGGTCTGGTTTGGTATCTTCTCTTCCTTACTGTTGAAGGCATATGGGCAGGACAGGACCGGGGCTTGGACAGGACCAGGATGCTGTGAAGGAAGGAGGAACTGGGCTGTGGTAGAGGCTGTCTCACTGGGGCGCTTCCCGGACGGCCCTCCTGGGAGACGTGAGAAAATGGGTTTTCTTACCAAAGGAAAAAGCAGATCTCTCCTTCATTCTAGTTGAGAGTTTAGGGTCTCCAGATATGTATCAGTATGGGCATAAATGAAGAACAAAATAATTAATGATAGGTAATACCTGGAAGTATAAAAATGATCAATACAGACACAGATGTTTCTAGCTGAGAGAGCTCCAGGGGGAAGGTCTTAGGAGCAGAGGAGCAGCACCGGGGCCACTGCAGCCATCTCGTGCCTGTGGGGGTGCAGTCATTCCTTTTTCTCAGTTTCCATGAACTCACTTGCCCACAGTCCAATCTTTTAAGGGGTAAAAGTGAAAAATGTTTTTAAAATTTAATTTTATTAAAACATAGTTGACATACAATAGTGTATGAATTCCAAGTGTACAACATGTTGATTCAACATCTATTTACCTTATGAAATGATCACAGTGAGTCTAGTACCCATCTGTGACCTTACAAAGTTATTACAGTATTATAGACTATTTTCTGTGTTGTACCTCGCATGCCCATGACTTATTTATTTTATAGTAATAACAAAAATTAAAATGTTTTCATCATTCAAAAGAATTATAACAGGAAAGGTCAAACTTGAGAAGCAAGGCTTGTTGATCCTGCAGCGGTTCTGCCATCGCATGGTGCTTTCTCGTATGTGTGCTGTGTCCAAATTTCCCCTTTCCTGTGAGGTCAGTGGTCATTGTATTAGGGATGATCCTTACACAGCAGAACTTCATCTTAACTTGAGTGCCTCAGTAAAACCCCATTTCCAAATTAGGTCACATTCACAGGTACCTGGGGTTAGGGCTTCAGCATATCATTTTAAGATTTTCCTTATTTACTCTCTTTTTTTTTTTTTGGAGAGAGAAGAAGGGAAGGAGAAAGAGAGGGAGAGAAACATCGATGTGTGAGAGAGATATCAGTTGTCTCTCACGTGCCCCCAACTCGGGACCTGGCCCACAACCCAGGCATGTGCCCTGATGAGGGATTGAACCAGTGACCTTTTGGTTTGCAGGCTGGTGCTCAGTCCACTGAGCCACACCAGCCAGGGCAGCACATTGTTTTAGAGGACACAGTTCAACCCATGACACTCCCTTGCCCATCTCCCTGCTGGACTATTGTGCTGGCCTCTTATTGTATCTCCCTATTTCCAGGGCCTCCCCTCTGACCTGTCTACACTACCAATAGAATTATCTTTCTATAATATAAGGAGGAAAATCATATTATTTTATAGTCTGTGACTTCCAAAGGTTAAATTCGTGATTTGACAAACCACTTCGCAGACTGTTCTCACTTTTCAGCTGGACATTTTGTCCTCATAGCTTAATTCAAAACAGGAACCTGTCCCCCTTGCACAGGGTTTTAATTGAAGCTGGTCTCGCTGAATCATGTGCCTGCCAGTAACTAATTAATCTCCCCTCCTACTGGGCTTCTCAATCACGCTGCCCTCAGAAGACTTTGGGAAGTAGTTGGATGTCTTGCATGATTTTTCCTAAGGATACTGTACTTGCATATCTTCTCTGATACTGGTTTATCATACTCTACTTCCACTTTCATTTCCTAAACTTTCAATGGAAGAAGGTAAAGTTGGCCCATCATCAGGTAGTTGGATTATATTTACTCAGGAAACTGATAACTACAAAACTATTCTCTCTTTCCTTAACCCAGTCTGGCAAAATGGTACTTCTCTTGTGAATTTATTTCCTGTGAAAGTATGTAGAGTGGGAGAGTGGGATGGAGGGTGAAAGTGTTTTCACTGAGGATAAAGAAATGTTAAAAAGAATAATATTCACATAGAGTTCTGGAGGGTAAAGACAATGAGAAGCATCTTCTTAGCCAGTTGGCCATCTTGGAGATGGCTGTGCCTTGATGGCTGTACTCTGACATAAGTAACAATAAAATCAATCAGGTCCACGATTTAAGTACGGAGTCCCTAAGAAGATGTTAAAGGGCCAGAAACTTGCCCAATTAGTTACATCTCAGTTAGATTTTAGTAGTGTGATCTATCTAGTTATGGAGGGACAGAGAAAATGCCATTTAAGGTCACTTGTACCTAGAAAGTATCTTTTGGTATAAGTGCTATCCATTTAGCAGGTCAGAACCTGGCCCAGGAGGAGAGGATGGAAGCTGGAGTTAGACAGACGGGGTATGGAACCCTTTCCTTTAAAACAATGTAGCCTTAGGTGAGTGATTCTCTTCAAGCCTATTTTTCTAAGCTGCATGAAAAGCATTTGGTACAATTCCTGGCAATGAGTGAATACTAAAAATGTCGGATGCTATTATTACATGAATGACCCCAAATAGGATTTCACTTGCATCCAAGAACTTTATTAATCTTACCTAATTACCTAAGCACCCTAATGGGAATGCTGGTTAAAACTACACATGGATATTTTATTACAACTGATATTTCACATTGTTGGGTGAATGGCTTTTATAAGTAACTCTTTTAGTGACATGAGGGGAAAAGTGTTAGAGGTATAGAATAATTTTAGAGAAAAATGTGGGCCATGTGTTATTTAAGACTTACATCAACTATTGTTATAAAGCAATTTAAAAGGGAAAAATATTTTTTAAAGATTTCATTTATTTATTTTTAGAGACAGGGCAAGGGAGGGAGAATGAGATATAAGAGGGAGAGAAACATTGACATGTGAGAGAAACATTAATTCATTGCCTCTTGCATACCCCAGCAGGGGACCTGGGCCTGCAACCCAGGCATGTGTCCTGATTGGGAACCGAACCGGCAATCTTTCGGTCTGCAAGCCAGCATTTAATCCACTGAGCCACAGCAGCCAGGGCAGAAAACAGTGTTTTACTAAGAGAAAGTGGAATTGTTATTTAAAGGCTAAAGAAGAAACCTGGAATGAGACAAGTGTTAAAATTGGGCAATTCTGACAAAGCCAAAAAAAAAAAAAAAAAAAAAAAGAAGAGCCCAAAATAAGATAAAATAATGTAAAGTAAAATGAAATAAAATGAAACTCTGAGGAGCCACCCTTGAGGAGTAATTGAGTGCTGTTTTGGGAATTTCTTCAGCTTTCTGCACATAGTACTTAGTGTTGTGGGAGGGATGATTCCTATGTTCTCCAGACAGCTGTTCTTTTATATAAATATCCAAACAAAAAGGGAGTTTAAAACGTAATCAGAGCTCTCTTTTGAGACATTTTTTTCTCTAACATTTTTCTCTTTCCTACGATCAGGTGAAAATGAAATCCTTGCAACTCTCCGTGCAATTTCCAGCAAAAACCAGATCTGGAGATCGTATATTGGCATGGGCTATTATAACTGCTCGGTGCCCCAGACCATTTTGAGGAACTTACTGGAGAACGCAGGATGGTAATGTATCACTTGATTAAAAATGGAAGTATTGTGATTTAATTTGCATTAAATGCAAATTCCCCCTCTTCTTCTCCCCATTTTTCCACATCCCCACCCCTTGGCACCTCAGAACTTACCCACTGACACCGCACTCATGCTGTCTCTGACCTCCAGGAACCTGCCCGGCTTTTTCTGGCGTGGAAAATTTTCCTACTCAAATGTAGAGGAAATAGAAGCTTCTTCCTGCTTTTATTCCCATACAACATTCTACAGCTCTCACATTGTGGATGCTGGCAATCTCTTTCTCCCTCTGACTTAATGTCTATTCTGTCTCTGTAAGCACACATTTGAGCAAGATGTCTGACTGGCAGCAGAACAGATGCAGCACTTTATTTTTTTGGAAACTCTAGGATTTGGGGCTCTGTTTAGAGCCTTAGGACTTTCTCAATGAGTCAGAATCTTGGTCCATTTTTTTCTTTCTTTCTTTTCTTTAAAAAGACTTTATTTATTTATCTTTGGAGAGGAAGGGAAGGAGAGAAATATCAATGTATAGTTGCCTCTTGTGAGTCCTCTGCTGGGAACTGGCTTGCAATCCAGGCATGTGCCCTGACTGGGAATAGAACTACGATCGTGTAGTTCGCAGGCCTGCACTCAATACACTGAACTACACCAGCCAGGGCTTCTTTTTTTTAAAGACTGTATTTATTTACTTTTAGAGAGAGGGAGAAAGAAAGGGAGAGAAACATCAGTGTGTGAGAAATACTTTGATCGGTTGCCTCTCACACACCCCCCAGTCGGGGACCTGGCCTGCAACCCAGGCATGTGCTCAGACTGGGAATTGAACCCGTGACCTTTTGGTTTTCAGGCTGGTGCTCAGTCTACTGAATACACCAGCCAGGGCATGGTCCATTTTCTTGTGTCAGAATTTTAGGAGTGCCCATTGTCTCTCCACGACTCCACACCCAATATTCTGGATTTACAACCAACTAAAAAAAAAGACAATGTCAGATAAATTGAGATTGAAATATTTGATTTATTACTTGGCACTTTTGTAGAGGAGAATGTGTGTATTCTGGGAATAGGCTTTTAAAAAAAATCCTCATCCAATGATATGTTTATTGATTTTAGAGAGAAGGTAGGGCAAGGGGAGAGAGGGAGAGAAAGAAAGAGAGAGAGAGAGAAACATCATTGTTGCCTCTCATATGTGCCCCAACTGGTAATCGAGCTCACAACCTAGGTATTCCCCTGATGGGGAATCAAACCCACAACACTCTGGTGCACAGGGAGGTGCTCCAACCGACTGAGTCACCCAGCCAGGACTGAACAGCTCTTACAGAAACTATAAAAGAAAGAGCTAGGCCCTGTATGCTCAGGTGCTTGTTCTGTTTTTACCTTACCTATCAACCTATCAGGCAGCTAACTCATTCCTAGTCCTCTAGGGTGTGTGTGTGTGTGTGTGTGTGTGTGTGTGTGTGTGTGTGTAAGAGAGAGAGAGAGAGAGATGTCTGTCTTTGTCCCCTGCCACTCTACCTCCCACTGATGCACAACACTGACAGTGCTTCTCCCACACTTGGGGACAAAATTCCCAGGGCCAATTCCATCGCTATTTGCTGTATGTTATGAAGAATGAAACAGGTTCACATTCCAACACTAAACAAGAGAACACCCTGGATATTTTTGGACAGGCAGAGGACATGGCTGCAGAAGAGCCAGGGAGCAGATTAGGGGCATCTCCTTCTTCTGCCCATTGGGAAATATTGCTTGACTATGAAGGAGGAAAGATGGGGATCCCTGGGCCTTTCTTTCCCTGGTTTTGGATCAGCGTCATTGTATATGCCAGTACCTTTGAATTGAAACTTTATTTGAACCGATGCCTTAGTCTCCAAAGGAATGTGTACACTTATTTCTAGCATAGAAAGAAACCATGTGTGGGTAGGCAATGACAGTTCGTAAGTGATTTTTTTTTCACTTAGTGTATGAGGTAATTTTAATTTCTAGTAGGACCGTTATTATGTGAGGACAGAGTAAGTAGTTGCCTCTGTGATTGAAAGACATTTATAGCAAGATGCAGAGATTGTCTTTTAGGTTAGCATATGTTAAAAAGAAATCAACTTTAGTAAAGGGAAGGTAGGCTTCCCTATGGGAAATCATGGCATTTATCTCCACACGAGCTTTTGAAATATCAAGTGCATGCTTCCCAGCAATAAACCTTAAACATTTGCTGAACACCTTGTATCTTTAAAAAATTTTAATAATATTTTGTCAGAATTAATTTGAATTCTGAGTGACCAATGTTTTCATTTCTATCTAATAGAACTGCCTTATTTAAAGAACTCTCCACCAACAGCCTCAGATAGAGTACTGAGACATTCATTAGTCCATTTTTTGCACCTTAAAAGTAGAAATAATTGCCTGTCTGAGAAAATTCTGTAATGCCCAAAATCTTTTGTTTCTTCTAGTCAACACTGAGGACAGGGCCCCTGCTTCCCCAGCCTCTTAGAGGGTAGGAGCTTAACTTTTCTGAGAGCCAGTTAGCAAACCCAGATGGATTTCCCAGGGTCCTGCCCCTTCTTCCTGGTGTTTGTACCTTTCGTGTCCCTGACTCGATGGAGCCTTTGCTCATTCACCTCCTGGCTCCCTCATTCTGTAAAATATTCAGTCACCTGTAAAACACACATGAGGAGGAAGGGAGAGACAGAGATATGCAGACTCTTCTAAGAATACAAACTTTGACAATTTTGACATTTTGAAAAGTATATCTGATATCCTACACAATTTCAAATTTTACACAAAGTGATCTTGGTGTACTAAAAATGGATGTGTGGCAGTGACGACTTATGAGCTATGAACTCATACTGGCTCTTTATCATCCACAAGCATAACTGGTTTCTGTGTATTTGGGTCTGTGAGTAAATGAACATGTTTGGCCTTTGGAGCAGCCAGCCTCACCTGCTGCCTCAAGTCCAGGACTGTTGTTCCAAGGACCAAGGCATTTGTTTGGCCCAGGGCATAGTTTAGGTTGGCTGGGGAGTGAAACACTTTGCATCTTTTGTCTGCTTTTGCGTAAGTGCAAACGTGGTCCTGGTTGCTGAGAGTGCTTTGTCCTAGGTGCACTCACTCCTGTCCCATCATTATAGGAGCCATATCTGTGGACATAATCACTTCTGCCTCATCATCCCTGCCCAGAACTCTTAGTTACCATAATCTTCATTTATTTATTAATAACAAATAGGAAGGAAAAGTCAATAAATTAGTATTTCTTCTTTTGGTGTGTGTGTGTGAAAGTATTAGCGTTTTGGGGGCATCTTTCCACTGTGGTATGGGTAAAAGTTTGAATGGTAAGCTCTAAGTTTAATTTCAAAAGCAAATAGCCTGCTTTCCTTCCCCATCACAAAATAAGCTGCAAAAGCACACAAACAGGCGACAGCATTCCAGCCATCTGAACACTGGCCAGTGGCCTTCACTCCCTGTGGTCATACAGATATTCACCATATTGCTTCCGGGCTGTGTGCTGATGTCTTAATTTCCTTTAGGAGCTGCCAGCAATGTAAGCGGGAGACAATGTTCTTTGCTTTTCAGTCCTGGCTTTTGGGTGCATTTTAAGGATTACTCCTCTCTGTTCTCCGAAAGCGGATCTGAATGAGAGGGTGCTAGTGCTCCTCGCCAGCACTGATAGACAGGGCTGTGCACACTCGGGTGGTAGACTCCACCATCCCTCTGAATGGTTTCCATAGAGATGGAACCAACAAATTCCGGTGACGTGAGGTGAAAATAAATGTACAAAATAGCCTCAAAGAATACAACCATTTGGGCTCTGACAAGAAAATGTACATCAGGTCTAGAATTTATTTTATGGGGTCCACTATTCCAAATTTTTGCTGATAACATCAGTATCAAAACATCTACATTTTCTTTGTGGCTATTTTTTGTTTTGTGTAACTTTGGCACAGAGATTAAAATAAGAGAATCTCATGAATGTTTTTCCTACTGCAAACCCCGCCACTACCTCCTTCTTTCTCAATTCCAAAAGAAAGTCACAGCCAAAATCATAGAGAGTATTGATTGTTTTGGAATAACTATTAATACCCTGTTGAATCAAGCATCCTATTTAAATGGGACAAAGTACCCTCTTGGATATGCAGATACTTTTTGTTTTTTAACATTAAAATACATGGAGAGACACAAACTGAGTTTAAAAAGTCTGTTGGAATATAGGCATTGTAGATCATAGACACATTTTCTTAATCACTATATTTTGCCTAATTGTTAAGACAACTAAACCCTTGCATGCAAGATGGCAAGCCCTGTGCTAGCATTTTTCTCCTCAAATGAGAGTTTGTTATCTCCTGGCTTGAGATTCACTGATGTAAGGGTCCTTTAATAAATAATTGTGTACTGTAGTGGTGTCAAAACCTGTAGATTATTTTAAAAGTTTATAAGTAAAAGAAGTGGGTTCATATATTGTCTACTTTTCAAGAAAACACTTCTAAAGCTCTCTAATGAGCATCAGCCTAAGCTTGGACTTATACAGGGGTTGGACAAGAAGGAAAATGCTGAGAAAATGACAGGGAATAGTAAACCCCAAAAGCTGTGATGGAAGGGATACCACAGTCTCGGTTTGAAGGACGATGCTTGAGGGGTATGGGGCTTCCTCCTGCAGGTCATAGCGAGCCATCCCATTTGGGCAAGAGAGTCAAATACCACATTTGTACTATAAGTATTCGATAATTTTCTATTTTAAGCACTGTGCTGGCTAGTGCTGGCTTCTTCTTCAAAAAAGAAGAAAGGAATGGTGCAGAATGCCAAAAGGAAGACTAATGGCATTGGTCATTATTTGGGGCTCAGAAAGATCTAGAGTTCTTCTTTGAGAATTGACAGAATAATGGTACCTTTCAAAGAATAAGAATATTCAAGAAGAGAAACTAATTTGGGGATCTAGTTGGATGAAGAACAGGGAATGTGAAGTTGACATGGGATAAGATGAATATCCAGAAAAAAATGGTTTCCAAGTAGACATA